TCCAGGTCATAGTTATCCAACGGAGGTTAAAGTCAAGGGCAAATGGACTTGGTTGAAGATACTGGAAGACGTTTCATCCCTCATCCAAAGGACTTCTTCAGTTCTGAACTGACTGGCAGGGAAACTCAGCTATTTAACTAAATAGCTGAGTTTCCCTGCCAGTCAGTCCTTTGGATGAGGGACGAAACGTCTTCCAGTATCTTCAACCAAGTCCAGTTGCCCTTGACTTTAACCTTCATTGGATAGTTTAGAGAAAAGACTGTTTGTTCCTGTAGATCGAAGGGGGTTTCACGTCTCGGATCGGTGCTCTTTTGTTTGACCAAAAGTAATTATGCTCTTCCATATGCCTACGTGGAAAAGCCGTAAGGTAGGGAGAGCACCTCCCTGCCCATCCATGTGCATACATGGAAAGCCTGAGGCAGAGAGCCGCAGCAAAGAACCCCATACAGAACAGAGCAGGCATGCAATTTACATGCTTACATGCTCAGATACTAGATGGGCACTGAACCACAATGTTAAATAAGCCTGGCACTGAAGACTTTACTGTTTATTATCAGGATGCAGCCTCTGCTGCCCTGTGTCGCCTCCTGCACACAAACACACATGCGAGCTCACACGCACAAACAGTGGCATGCGCAGAGATAGGTTGTAGACACGCCCTTTATGCGCTATGTGGAAGTGCCAGCAGGAGGACCCTACTTAACACGTATTAGTCAGTTACTCTAGATCACCTGAGTGAGGCTATTTGAATTAAACATACTAGTTTGAGTTGACAAAAACCCAGCAGTTATGATCAGCAAACGACCCCACAGAGGTAAAATAGCTGAGTTTCCCTGCTAGTCAGTTCAGAACTGAAGAAGTCTCTTGGATGAGGGACGAAACGTCTTCTAGAATCTTCAACTAAGTCCGGTTGCCGTTGACTTTAACTTTTTTGGGATAACTATCAAAATCATAGTTTGAAAGATTACAGATTTCAAATCACAAGAGCTGCGAGTTGAATTATTTCCACCTTTGTTGTAGAGATTTGGGAAACATGACTCAGAAAGAAAACTCTGGAAGTAGATCCCTGTGCAGTGAGCTACAGTCGCTAATCCAGGAGGCTGATTTCTGTGTTTCCTTTCAGTCAGACTCTGGGACGATCATTTGAAATGATTCATGTAAAATGTAAGTTTGTTAATGAAGCTGTAGGAGGCTCGCTCGTCACAATTTGTTGGATGCTGTTTTACTGGAGTCACGTTTCCTGGATCTCTACAACTCAGCTGGAAAGTACAACACATGTGCAACAAAGAAGAAGTTTAGAGTAAGTTAACCTGAACGTCTTGTTTTTGACCTTCAGTGATTTAACTTCTCACCTTGCTGCAGTGATGTACAGGTGTACTCCAGGACCCTGTGACATCACAGGTGGGTGTGGTTACAGGTGCAACAGAGCACATTTTGAAACTCTGCTGCTGGTTTACTGAAAGTTGGATCTGAGACTGTCGACCATGACGACAATATGCTCCACTAAATAATCTGACTAGAAAAAGAAGTTTACTTTAATTTTAGGCAAGGCAAGTTTATTTGTATAGCACAATTTAACAACAAGGTAATTCAAAGTGCTTTACATAAAACATAAAAGCAACAGGGAAATATGTAAAAGTTTAAAAGCAACATAAAATATAATAAAAGTTAGTGCAGTGTAAGATATAAGTAAAAAGAAAAATCTTAAATATTTAATTAAAAGCAATGGTAAAAAGAAAAGTCTTCAGTCTTAATTTAAAAGAACTGACTGTTTCAGCAGACCTGCAGTTATCTGGGAGTTTGTTCCAAATATACGGAGCATAATAACTGAACGGTGCTTCTCCTTGTTTAGATTTGACTCTGGGGACAGAAAGCAGATCTGCCCCAGACGACCTAAGAGGTGTGGATGGTTCGTAATGAAGCAGAAGATCAGAAATGTATTTTGGCCCTAAACCATTTAGTGCTTTATAAACTAACAGCAGGATTTTGAAATCAATTCTTTGACATACAGGAAGCCAATGTAAAGACCTCAGAACTGGAGTGATGTGATCCACTTTTTGATCTTAGTGAGGACTCGAGCAGCAGCGTTCTGAATCAGCTGCAGCTGTCTGATGGATTTCTTAGGGAGCCCTGTAAGGACACCGTTACAGTAGTCAAGTCGACTAAAGATAAATGCATGGGTACGTTTTTCCAGGTCCTGCTGAGACATAAATCCTTTAATCCTTGATATATTCTTTAGGTGATAGTAAGCTGACTTTGTGATTGTGTTAATATGGCTCCTCAAATTCAGGTCTGAGTCCATGACTACACCAAGATTTCTGGCTTGATTTGTGGTTCTTAACATTACAGCACTTACTTTCAATCGTTCCTCCCTGGCTCCAAAAACAATAACTTCAGTTTTATCCTTGTTTAATTGAAGAAAATTCTGGCACATCCAATCATTGACCTGTTCAATACAGTTACTCAGCGCCTGTATGGGATCATAGTCCCCTGGTGAAATGGTTATGTAAATCTGTATGTCATCTGCATAATTATAGTAACATATTTTGTTGTTTTTCATAATCTGAGCCAGTGGAAGCAGGTAAATGTTAAACAAAAGAGGCCCCAGAATGGAGCCTTGGGGAACTCCATGTCATTTTTGTCAGCTCAGATGTGTGATTACCTATAGACACAAAGTAGTCCTTGTCCTTTAAGTAGGATTCAAACCAGTTTAGTACTGTGCCAGAAAGTCCAACCAAGTTTTCAAGTCAACAACTTAATACAGCTCTGCTACGGCCATAAGAGAGCTATCAGTTATCAGCGATGCTACTGTTAGATAAAAAAAAGTGGGGATCCTAAATGCATTGTTTCGTTACACAGTTTTTATCCAAAGGTGAACTGCCAGTAAAAACTTAATCCTCTATCAGTCAAAAAACGTCTTTACAGATTGTAAATACATTGAATACGATGTATTACTGGATAAATGAAATGCAACCATAAAAAAATATTTTTTATTTAATGAAAACCTCAAGGATTATAACTTTAACATGTTTCAAGACAGGTAGAAACCTTTAAGGTGAATTAACAGTGGGCTGATCTTCCATAAGGATGCTGATAGCGGCACACCTTTAGCTTCTTCCTCTCTCTGCTGCCAGGTCGAAACACCATATTTTCTGCTTTAGGATATCATCTGTGGCAGCACGGGAGATATGACTCTCTCACAGCATCTGTAATCACACAAGGAGATTTTCATACAAAATTTCATGAACTCCTATTGCAACCAACAGTTTTTACAAAATGATATAGGCTGACCACCACATATTGATTTTTTTAACTAGGCCTATTTAAAATAGCATTTGATTGCAGAGCGTTGTAACGTGGCACATCCTCTCTCTCTCTTTCTCTCTCAATCACTCGTCTGACATGAACACCGCTGCACAAATGAGTCCAGCACAACGCGGTCAATGACGGAGACCCACCTTAAAAAAGTTATAAGCATGTAAGGAGCCTAGCTAAGGTTAAAACAGTGTAAAGAATTGAAACAGGTGGAAATGCATTAGGTGCGTTTGACTTCATGCAGCGCTGCGCAACGCTGACTTAACGTGATACGTGATACGCCGTTTTATTTTGACACGCTGTAAAAAGCGGCGTTTAGTTAACAAAGCTGCGTTTAAAACGGCGTTTTCTAAAATGATAATGAGCTCCGCCCTGTGGATTTTACAGCCACTAAATTTGAACTGTTGTCACCCAATCAGTACAGAAGAAGAACAGACCACACTAATTCAGCACTGATCTACTTTACTGTGATCGTAGCCACCCATAGGCAGAAATTAACTACAGACAAACATGAAAAACTCAACACAAAAGTCCCAGACTGATCAAGTAAATTAACTACATATACTAAAATTTGAGCTACTCTAGGTTATAGCTTGTAACATCTATTGATTGATGATTTTAGATCAAATTTGACAGAAATAATTAATTTGCATTTTATTTATCATCATTGTCAGATTAAAAGTAAGTAAAAGTATCTCCTAAAATAGAACATACAAAGAAAGTAAGAAATCACCATAAGTGGAACAACTATCTTTACATGGTCATCAGTGAACAGTTTAAGCCTCAATTGTCTTTTTATGACCCCTTCAGTCTGTGTACTATTGATAGCGAGCCTACCCTTGTTTCTACCAAGCTTTGTTTTACCATGTCATCCTAAATCCAGGCCAAAGGCAACGTGACACAAACATGTGTTTCAGTCCATTCAGGGAAAACACAGCTTGTCATTTATTCCCTGGCTGGAAACTTTTTATTTATTTATCCAAAGCTATCCTTCCGGACTCCTGCGATAATATATATGTTACCCCAAAACACTACACTATACAAGCTGCTACAAAAACTTTCCTTAATCCATATTTATATATTTCCACATTTATTTATGTTGACTGTATGTTTGTCTACGTGTAGCACCTTATCACACCAGCAAATTCCTCGTATGTATAAAACACTACTTGACAATAAGGCTCATTCTGATTCTGAAAAGGCATCTGCAGGCTATTAAGATACTTGCTTTAAAAAAAACGCTGCATTGCTTTCCTCCAAAATGGACATATTTGAGAAAGGTTACCTGAACTCTTTGTGAAAGCATACCTTCTGATGATACCTAAGCTAAATAATAAGAAGCATGTTTTGAAATCATGTTAATCATCAATAAGCTATCTTTACATTGTGAATAATGTTGGCTGATAATGACAAAATGAAATCAGTTTAATCAGTAAGGTTAAAATTTATTTAACTGTGTAAACCACACAACATTCAAAATTACATCCCAAAGTTCATCCCAATTCATTTTTCAATTCAATTCAATTTTATTTATATAGCGCCAAATCACAACAACAGTTATCTCACAGCGCTTTTCATAAAAGAGCAGGTCTAGACCGTACTCTGTGATGCTATTTACAGAAGCCCACCAAGAGCAAGCACTAGGCGACAGAGGCAAGGAAAAACTTCCTTTTAAGAGGCAGAAACCTCGAGCAGAACCATGGCTCAGGGTGGGCGGCCATCTGCCTAAATTATATAAAATTTTTTTAGAACATAATTATGAACAACCAGGATGACGAATCTGTCAGACTATTTGTGAGAGACAATTGATTGGAGTCTTTACTACTACTAGATATTTGACTTAATACTTTGAACAATTAGGAATTATATTAAAACCATTAAAACCAGTAAAGGTATTTTAAAAATAATGCAAAAAAATAATTACGCTCATTTTAATGAACAACTGTAACCCATATAGCCTATGTACATCAGTGTGTGTGCGTCTGCGTGAGGCTCCAGCTGCTGACGGGCATCACTAGTGGTCCAGTCCATCGTAGGATGAGTGGAAGTTCTTGGGCAAAACATAACAAAATAGTTGGATAGAAGAATTTAAAAGGGAAAAGAGGGAAAGAATTTTAATAGATTACAAAGTATGTCTTTCATAGTGTAAAGGTAAATGTTCCAACACCACACAGTAGAGATATTCTGTATGTCAAAAGTCCTACATTCACATTTTAAGATGGAAAGTAAAGCTAATTCTAACTACTTTATATTTTGCTTTGTGGCTTTATCTGTGAAAATACATCATACTCTAGTTTTTGAATATGTTTTTAATTTATATTCTGCAGAGTAACTAGTAACTAAAGCCGTCAAAATAAATGTAGTGGAGTAGTACCTCAAAAAGAAGAGTAATTGGGCGCGTGTACTTGGGTACTTTTCACAACTGATTTCTATTGACATAGAAGGCAATATTTGTGCAAGAATGTATATGTCTGATAAAATACCTGATTGTTTGGAGGTCATGCAAGGTTGGATACCCAGCTTTTCCCCAGTTCCCCATCTGGCTGAAGTCCTTGAAGATACGTACCTCACACGGTATGCCCTGGAATTGGAGTGAGTGCCACTAAGGTCTTGTCATCTGCATCTTCTTTGTCCTTCTGCTTCGCAGCCTTTGTGTCCCATGAAGCTGCTTCTATGTTTCCAGGCTTGAATGAACAGTAGGCATCGCGCTGGTCTTTCTTTCTTCTAAAACTTACATTGACAGAGGCTGTTTGCAAGAGGGCTTATACTCAGTGTGCAGGTGACTGATGGACTTGAATACAACCTCCAGGTAGAGAGTAGCCACTACCAAATACTTGAACATTTATTGGCCAGAGACAGGTGTGCAAAGTGTGTAATGACTTCCAAACTTGCCTTCTCCAGTTTTGCCCTAAGGCTGTGGTCTACCAACTCTTCAATGGTTGCTGGACTAGGTGGTAGACCACAGACTTGATTAAAAAGCCTTTTGGAAAAAAAGTGTGGCGACACCCCTTCATGGATGAGACAAACTGCCAACATTTGGCCCACAAGTCTATAAGTGTTGTTGTGAAGAGCTATAAAAGAAAGAAAATTAAAATTGATCAAAGTAATGTTAAATAAAGCTGTGGAGTGTAGACATACATTAAATGAGTATGTTTCCTGACATTGTTGGGAAAAAAACAAACAAAAAAACACTGTCAAGGGCCAAGGTACAGGCTTCAAGAGGCCCTTCAAATATTTGATGCTCCTGGAGTTGTTGCATTAGCAACCTACAAAATTCCCTTGTGGGCCCACCATCGTCGATGGCACCTTCTCCTTGACCATCCTCATCTATGAAAACGATGTCCAGCTTGGACTGTGGATTGAAGGCTGGTCGCCGGAAGGCTTTCTCGTCACATTCAAATTCTTCATTGCGAAGTTATCTGATTGGCTGTGGGAGCCAGATGGTGAACCCTTGATTGTAGGGATTGACAGTGCCACAGCAATGTCAAAAGCTCTGTATTGATAGAGAAAAAACGCTGAAGTTACAATCATTTAAACCAGTGGTTCTCCAAGTTTTTGTCACACCTTCACTATGCACTATAAGGGTGTTGTAGTATTTTCAGAAAATGTGTACTTACTCTTCAGTTCCCTCCTGGTATGGGCTTGATGGAGCGGAGGATATATAGAAATGATTGTGAGCTGGAGAGGAAGCTGGGGAAGAGGTGTGGATTGTGATTGGTGGAGATGGAGCAGGGGAAGTGGTCCCAACTGCAATTGGTGGTGCAGCTGGTGTTTGTTCCAGTGGTATGGAGGGGTTTGACATAACATCCTAAAATGAAATGATGAACAACATTAATATGCATGTGAAGGCTCATACAGTTTCAGCCACAACTTTATATCTTTATAAGTAAAGGCAAGGAGCATCTGAAGCGAACTAATAGGAGTAATCCACTTAAATGGAGGTGAGGCAGGCAGAAATCAACCAAATATCCAAAAAAAAGCAACAATACAAACTGAGAAGACCAGCAAGAACCAAAGTACAGAATCCCCAAAGAAACAGAAAAATTGTTAGACAAGATCAGATAATCAACACTAACAGGAAAAAAGCTAGATAAGAAACAAGAAGTGGAACTACTACAAAATACATAAGGGTGCATTTAACAAAATAAAAGACAACGTATAACAAATGCTTAACACCATATAATCATGGACAAGGAACAAGAATGTGGAGACTGGGAGGTCTAAACAACAAAAACATAACAGGACCAAAAAACTACAACACTGGCACTGTGTCACATATTTGCATACCTTGGGGTGTAGGTAGAGACAAGAGCGCCCTAGGGCATTCTGGACATGTATGTACTGCTCCTCCAACACTATTATGCTGCGCTGCCCATTGACTCGGCAAAGCTCAAAGTGCAACTCGGGGATGTTTTCTTGAAGGGCTCGAACAAACTCCTGTTCGTCAAGGTCTAAAGGGACGACGACCCGACAGGGAGGAGTAGCATCTGCGTAAAAAAAGATATATTACTCATAGTTTTAACAACGTAACAAAGGTCTTATTACTAATAACAAGCAAGACAAAATATAACGAACCACTATGTAAAAGATGGTGAAACAAAGAAACTGGTTATACAACAAATCTGTTTTTTGTTTTTTTAACAAAGATCTGTCCACGTAAATTAGCGAACTAATAAAAACAGAGATTACCCCTATGAGACCTGTAACAGGTCAATGTGCTGCTCCTCAGCACAGACACTCTGAAGGTTATTTGTTGTCTTGTGCTACATCTGCGTCTCCGGACTGGTCCTCCACCCTCCTCTCGTCTGAATGTTTGGAATCTACAGAATAGTAGAAAATACACACGGAAAATATGATGAACTGTAACAACTCACAAACATTAACATTACTTATACTGCAGTCCTTCAAAGGTATAGGTCTACTGTATTTCCGACTGAATTCTGGCAATGCAGTTAAAATACTAACATTTACTTTAATAAGCTTTGTCAACAGGTTCCTTGTAACTAGGTTAGGTTCCGCTAGACACAATGTTACGGCTCTTTGCACAACCTCCACAATCTTGGTTTGAACAATCATAATAAAAGAAAAACTATTAAGTAAATTCTATGTTCTGCTCTCAGTACATTCTAAATTCTACTTCTTAAACGGCCTGTGCCAGAAGTAAATCTGCAGATTAATCTAGTCACATTGTGTTCTGTCAAATGCCAGTTAAGGAGGTTTTACCTAATTTAATTGTCCTACTTGTGCTAATTTGTGCTTTGTCTCAAAGCGGTGCTTCACGTTTTAATAATCTTGAACATCTGAGATTATATGCCTATATAACTATATATTTTGTTAAATATATAGTTTGTAGCCTTTGGTACTTTTGCTGAATGGCCGCTTCTGTAAATCCATTAAGAGGATAATCAAAAACTTGCACTATTTTTAATTGAGATGGCATAACATAGTAGCGGCCTAACATTAATCATCCCCAAAAGATTTAACGTTGTAGGCTTGAATATCATTTCAGAAAATATGTGTCTTTTCAAATACTTACGTTTTAATTTGGTCAGCTCGCATTGTTTACCACCTTTATTCGCCCTGGCATGGGAATGCAGGGCTCAGACAAACAATTCACCAAGACGGATCAGAGAGGGGGACGACTTCTCATAACTTTCTGTCTGCTCTTAGCTGGTGACGTTCATCAATGCCCTGGCCCAATGTTCCACACTGAATTTGCAACCAAATCATCAAAACCTGACACGACTAGTCAGTCATCTGGTTTACAGATACGATCTGCTGTTAACGTTGTACAAAAAAGTCCGGATCACCCACCTAAGTTCCGTGCTTGTTCCTCGGATGGTTCGAGGAGTGTACTGGCTGCAGTCGCCGCTCGGGCGGGTTCGTGGGGGATGTTTGGCATGGAGGAAGCGGGAGTGCCGCGATCGCTGAAACGGTGTGCATCCTCGCAAAGCTCCGGGGAAGTCGCACGGCAGCAAATCCACCGCGCGGATGATTCCGTCTCCTCCGACGTGGCCGGAGGGGTCTCCTCGTCAAGGGTGGTGGTTGCCCAGTTTTCGGGCAGCGCTCAACCAGTTGACCTCTGTCCGACAAACTCCACTCTTCCCGTCTACGCTCTCTATGGTCCAGGTAAGCGTGGGCCAATCAAGAATCCACGTAGAATAGGAGTTAGCGCCACTCAACGGAGAGCCACAGGACTAAATCCAGCTATTTTCAAGCTGCGTAAATTTAACCTTTTTCAAACAGTGAATAATGCCAAAGTTCTGTGGGACCCTCAAACAAAACCCAGTGGGCTACTGGGCGGTCACCTGAATATCCGTAGTTTGATTTCTAAAAGTGATGAGATAAAACATATTCTTGTGGACTCTAACTTGGACTTCCTATGCTTATCTGAAACTTGGTTGAATAAAAACTCCCCATCCGCAGCCATACATATTCCTGGCTATAATGTTTTTAGGAAAGATAGAAAGGTTGGCAAAGGTGGGGGTTTACTGTTATACATCAAGGAACATATATCATGTAAAGAGGTTCAATGCTCAGTTGAGAATGAGCTTGAGTATATTTGCCTTAATATTAGTCTTTCACCACAAATGTCCTTCTTTCTCATTGGAGTGTATAGACCTCCATCTGCAAAAGCTAGTTTCTTTGACAAATTAGAAACTGTTGTAAAGGTATGCAGGTCAGGTCAGGAAATACTAGTAATGGGTGACTTCAATGTTAATTGGGAGGACAAAGGCACTAGTAAAGCACTGCAACGGATCTGTAATAAATTTGATCTCACACAACTAATTAAAGGGCCCACTAGAGTAACCTCGTCTTCAAAAACTCAAATTGACTTGATATTTACCAACAAACCTGAAAGGGTGTCGAAATCCTTTAACATGGTCACTGGTCTGTCTGACCATAACCTCACTCTTATAGCTAGAAAGCTTACTAAATCCCGTTTTTATTTAAAACCTAACACCAAATCCAGCCAGTTACGAATACCCAAGTGTGATGTTGATGAATTTGAAAGAGAAATCAAAAATATTAACTGGGATCAAATCATAGCTGGTGGAGATGTGGAAAATGACACTAATGTCCTCATGTCCACAATTCAAAACATAACAAAGCGATTTTTAAAGAAAAACAAATCTAAAGGGAATAGTAAATACACCCTCCCCTGGATCTCTAGTGACATAAGGAGATTAATGAAGGAGAGAGATAATGCTTTAAAGCTCTCTCTCAAGTCCAAATCATTGACTGATAGGCATATATTTGTGTCCTTGAGAAATAGAGTAATAAAGGAAATTAGGGCAGCTAAATCTACTTTCTTTGTTGACCTCATACGGGATGCTAAAGGTAATCATAAACAAGTCTGGGACTGTCTGCATAAACTAACAGGGAAAGGACATAATAAGGCAACAAAGCAGCTGGAGATCAAAGAAAATGGTAACCTATATAAGGAACAAGCTGAAGTTGTGACTATCTTCAATAATCATTTTGTCAATTCTGTGAGATTGACTGTGCATAGTCCCATAAGTGGTCCACAACACTCCTCACCAATTGATGTATTACAGCCAGTCTTCACTCTGACTGAAATTTCTGAACCCAAGGTTAAGTCTATAATTACTTATTTTAAGAATTCCAAATCAAAAGACATATTTGGACTGGATTCCATGTTTTTAAAGAAACATGCTGCCTCCCTCACAGGGCCTATCACTAAAATTATAAACAGCTCTTTTAAGGAGGAAAAATTCCCAAACGATTGGAAGTTAGCCATTGTTGTGCCAGTCTATAAATCAGGAGATACAACTGATATGAATAACTATAGGCCGATTAGTATTTTACCCGTCTTGTCTAAGATCTTGGAAAAATGCGTGGCTGAGCAATTGACTGAACATCTTAACAGAAGCCCTTTTAAACTGCACTCCATGCAATTTGGCTTTAGAGCCAATCACTCCACTGAGACAGCAAATTGTTTCTTTGTGGAAAACATCAAGTCAAAATTGGACAAAGGAGGCATAGTTGGGGCAATTTTCTTAGATCTGAAAAAAGCTTTTGACACTGTCAACCATGAAATACTCATCCACAAAATGTCTTATTTTAATTTCTCAACCAGTGTTACTGACTGGATGAGATCTTATCTGTCAAATAGAGTACAGTATGTGAGAGTTAATGATGAGACATCACCACCCCTGAGGAACGAACTGGGTGTACCCCAGGGATCTGTCCTGTGCCCTGTTTTGTTCAGCATTTACATAAATGACCTGCCATTAGTGTGCACTGGATGTGAGGTGCAGATGTATGCTGATGATACAGTCATATATGTTCACGCGAAAACTAAAGCCCAAGTTGTTGCCAAGCTCAACGATACAATGGTACATGTACGTAAATGGCTTACTGGCTCACAGCTGAATCTCAATGTTAAGAAAACAGTATGTATGTTTTTTAGTAAAAGCAAAACTGTATCTCATTGTGAACCCAATGTCTGTGTGTCTGGGGAGGTCATTCAAACAGTTACACAGTTCAAATATCTAGGCATTATTCTTGACTCTACTCTATCATTTAAACATCAGGTGAGAAAGGTAGTGCAAATAACCAAATATAACCTAGCGAACTTTAAGTATATAAGGAACTGTTTGACAACACCTGTAGCAAAGCTATACATGACAACTATGATAATTCCTCACCTAACATATTGTATGACAAGCTGGACCCAGGTATGCAGTACAACACTAAGGCTTATTTTATCACTTTACAAACAAGCACTTAAAGTATTGGACAAAACCCCCCAATTTTACCATCACTGTAACATTCTTAATACTTATAACCTACTCAATTGGGAAAATATTTTAAAACACAGTGATGCATGCCTAATCTTTAAAATCATTAATGGGAAGGCTCACCCACCACTCTGTACTTTTATACAGCAGAAGTCATCTAGCAGCAGAACCACAAGGTCTGCCTTAAGAGGGGACTGTGTAGTCCCTCGTAGGTCTAGTTCCTTTGGCCAATTATGCTTTTCTGTGAGAGCCTCTAAACTATGGAACCAATTGCCTGTGGATATTAGAAATTCCACCTCATACCATACATTCTCACACCATCTTAAGGTCTGGCTTTTGAGCATACAAAAATGTGAACACCTCTCAGAATAATAATGTATGTCTGTCTCTATATTTTAGCTGTCCTGTAACTTTTGGTATATGTATGCTAAATAGATGGTTAGATGGTAACTTTATTAATGCCCTAACAGTTGTATGGCTGTATGGTTATATGTTATATGTTTTATGATGTTATGTTTTAATGGAGCCAGTGCTATGGCATTATGTTTTATTGTTGTATATCAATTGCTGTGTGATTTAATGTGTTTGTTTTTTTTTTTGTTTGTTTTTTTTGTTTTTTTTTTTATTTATTTTTTTTGTTTGTTTCTTTTAAGCTATTATGTGCCTAGTATAACATCTTGCCAATGGACTACAGTTGAAAATTAGCCTGCTGGCTAACACTGGCACATTTACAGAAATGTTTATTAATGTGCACTGTCCTTAAATAAATAAATGAAATGAAATGAAATGTCCAGACTTTTACTTTTATTGTAAAGTAACAGCAAAAGTATTCATTTTAGAAACATGCACTTTATGCACAGGCTATCCTACAATTATAATAATGTTAATTCAACAATTTTTAAATGCTAGCGTTAATATGCAATACTATGGAATGTCTGGTGTAAGTTTAACGTTACCCAGTAACAGTTAACATAGCCTACACTAATATCTATAAAAACGTATTTTTATATACAGTCTATGATAAAAACTGTTCACCTCTGAAGTAGAGAAGACTCTTTTTGTCCGTCTTCATTCAAAATTCTGTTGAACTGGGCGTTCATTCTGTCTCTGATTTCACTTATTCTTCTTTGAAATCTTCTGCCTCTCTCCGACATGTCTGTTCATCTACCATCTCAAAAGAGTGGACTGAGAATGAAAAGCCACGGAAAACCGCGAAAATAAACAATTATGTTTGTTTCCTCATTCTTGCTGTCTCATTTTTAAAGCAATTCTCTGTGAGAATATGTTAATGGTTAGGATTATTTCCATTTTCAGTCATTATTATTATTATTTCCAATATTATTTAGGCTAGGCCTATGCGCTGTAGCCTTGGTCTAACTCTGCTGAGGAACAACCACCTGGTCAAATATCTATGTATTAAAAACCTTTATAATATGATTATATTACAAACTTTTGGAAATATTTATTTAGAAAGTCACACATTAAATAGTTATTCTTTAAAAATCTTATAACCACATGTTAGGTTACCTATCTGCAATGTTTAGCTGTGTTCAATGTTCAATGGTCACATGACAACATGGTTGTAAAATGAAATGTTTGTAACTCCCTTCTGGTACATAGCAGGCAGTACAATCATAGAATGGTAAACAGAAATAAACTAAAAACCGTAGCTTGAGTTTAAAGCTCTTCTGCCGTCTGGTGGTGTGACAGCAGAAACATGTCTGTCTTCTATCTAGATGATATCAATAATCCAGGCGTGATGAGATGAAGGCGTGTGAAATGGTCTTGGTGTCCTTAAAAGTTAACATAGATTGAATTTTTGCTATATTTCTAAGTTGATAAAAACATGATTGAACAAGCTTTGTGGTGTGCTGCTCGAAATTTAAATTACTATCAAACCAAACACCAAGGTTCTTTGCCACAGGCTTAATGTGATTTACTAGGGAACCAGCAGATGGCAGTATTTGATTTGCCATCTGCTGAGACCCGATGACCAGGATTTCTGTTTTGTCTGAGTTCAGCTGGAGGAAATTATTTGACATCCATTTTTTAACTTCACAAAGGCAGTTGTTAAGTGAACTCAGCATTCCAGGGTCTGTGGATCTGACGGGCAAGTATATTTGTGTGTCATCAGCAT